GCACTAATTTTCAACTTCACGAGTTGAATTTACAAGTACGTTTTACATGTTCTTAAGGTGTCATTAGTCTTTCTCTTCGCGCTTAAATAACTTAGCTTAAATGGTGCCTTCATCGTGCTTATGTGGTGCCTCAAGGACAAAGGTACGATTCATCACGAAATGACAAAGAACGATAATCGAGCCTCTATGCCCGGTTAATATGTATCGTGCATTGGCAATTTGGTGTATTAAAAATTTCGTTCAAACGGTGAGGGGTGTTTTTTTTAAATTTAATTACCATGACAATATTGAAATAGTTTCCTTAAAAAAGAATTTATGCAGAAAATATATCTACCTGGAGTTATGAAAACCGTGAAAAAAGTATGACTGTGAAAACAAGGCTAAGGTGATCCGCCGACCGTGTGAATCTACATCCGGGAACTTGAATAAGACGAGTGTAAGAGAAAAGTCGAGAGGTGTTTGTATAGGTAATAGCATGATTTTTAGTGATATTTGGCATAAATACCACGATTGATATTTCAAAATTGTTATACGTAATTTTACGAGCCGATAGGCGAGTGAAATTTGAGGCAATTTTGAAATATCACTCGTGGTATTTATGCCAAATGTCACGTAGAAATCATGCTATTATTTGCTTATACTACTACCCGCAAAAGGTTTGTAATTTTCACATTTGTTTGTAATTTTCCACTGCTCTAAGCCAATCAAATTACAGAAATTTCTCATGTAGTAGTACGAATCTGGCAATAGGCTGAGTTTTTCCGAGTTATTCGATGATATTTCGCTTATGTTAAACGTGAGAAGATTATGCGTGGTTGTGGATAGTCTTATCAGTGCCGCGAAAGTGTGTGACTGTGTGATTTCCGCATGATGTCGACAGGTATGTGATCGCGTGGTTGAACTGCGGTTTCGCCAAAATATTCTGTGCCGGCCATTAATATTGTTTCTTCGGTGTTTAGCTTAGCTGATTGTACCTTAGAAAAGCAACTCTCAACTCAGGAAAACTGGATCTAGGTCTAGTTTCAGCGGGCTCTAATGGCATCGCACCATAGGCCGGTTTTTGCAGAAAAGGAGGTGATAATTTGTGCACTTTGTTTCATTCAGTTTGTTGTCTATTCCCTGCGGAATCCTGTTGTTTTTCGGACCGCGAAAAAAGTAGTGTTTTGCTAGCTATTTAAGTTGTTATGTAAGCCTCAACCAGGCACTCTTTCGCTGCAGTTCACTCAACTTAAAAATTTCTAGACTGAAATAACACCGGTTTGAAACTTCGCGAAGTCAGTTTACGGAATAAATGTTCTAAAATTTGCGTCATTTTAAATTTGGACTGGTTGGAATACTTCTAGGGACTATTAACTTACTGCTCGGCGTCAGATAAAGGCTTTTAATAGGCATTTGAATGGGTTTTGTTGTTTTAAATTGCCAAGCCGAGTAGAATGAGTTGATATTTTTGCTAACCCGGTTTTCAAAAATCCAGGTATATATGCAGTCTCTGTAATGCACATTGATTACACAACAACCGTGCAGAAAATTAAGTTTCTCTCACTGACACGAGTTTAGAGGAACTGAAACCTTAAACATAGCGTTAGACCTTTTTTTTTCACAAAAATGTGACTGAGAAGCCACTTAAGTTAATTATACTAAAGTCGTTCCTTTCGATTTGTCGCTCATAAAGATATCGACTGACCACTCGGACATTCCGTTTCGTATTCGATTTCCAGCGGACTTTCTTTTCGGATGCGTCAGCGCAAAATACACTGGCTGAAAAAAGCCTGGGAAGACGCAGTGCAGGTGAAATGAACCAGATCGATTCCTAGAAATCTGCTTATGTGACATCGACTCTTATCAAAGTGAATATTCTCGGAAAGACCCACTTGCAATAGGCTGTGGACATGGAGCAATTTAAAGTTTTTTTCCTACTAAAACAGCGAGAACAGGACTTCTTAGTTAAGCTGTCAGTAAGCTGAATGTTGGCTTAGTTGGTTGAATTCAGGTTTACAGCCTTGACATAGTAAAATGATTTGCACTGGGATACACAAGTTAGAGAGGTCAAATCTAAAGCCTCAAAGATCCTAGGCCTATTACGTACAAATTGATCTAGGTGTAGCAAATATGTTAAGAGAAAAGGTCTACAATTCAATAGTAAGGTCATGTGTTGAATATGCTTCACCCTCTTGTCCAACAAATATACTAAAGAAGGCAAGCATTGTATCAGAAATATCACAATCAACAAAAATGACCTTTGAAAACTGTTAGGCTAACAAGTTCAAAACCGACAACTTCAATCTGTTTTTTTTTTAAATTTCTTCAAGTTTGCCCATCAGTGCCTCCTTTTGTATTTGCTGTGCTATTTAAGGACCTTCTTTTAATGCTTTGTGTGATTATTTTAATGTTACATTTAATTTGGTGACAGTCCTTACGGTTAAAATTTTAAAAAAACACCTTTCATGGGAACATATAATACACATAATTGACCGGCTCCTAACATCAGTGGCTTTATAGCTTAGAGCGTGGCACCGATATCGCGACGTCACGGGTTCAAATCCCGTTGAAGTCCTGAGAATCTTTTTTTTTTTCGGGTTCTTACGCAATTGCATAAATTGCGTTCACACCTGCGAGGATTGTTCATTTGAATTATATTAATCTCGCCCCTTTCGAGTTGTCGCTAATAAAAATATCGACTCCACTTCGATTTTGCGTTTCGTCAGCGAAAATATATTGACCTAGAAGGCCAATGAAGACGCAGTACAGGTCAGGTGCAATAAACTAGATTCATTCCTAGAAATCTGCGCACGTGACATCTATCATAAACCAAGCGAATATTCTGGGAATGATCCACTTGCAATAGATTGTGGACAGGGAATGATTTACTTATATTTCTTCGTGAACCAGCGAAAACGGAGTTTATCAAAAAAGGTATGTCACGCTTTTTCTAAAGCTAAAAATAGGCTGAATATAGTCTTGGTTGGTGGAATCCAAGTGTTGCAGGGTCTCCGGTAACTGATTAATACTCACCTGCTGCCTGAAGTACCGTTTTCCGAGAAACCTGTTCGCGGGACGACTGCTATTTAGCAGAATGTCTCCGAAGCGAACACGACAAAGTATCATGTATTGAATGCATTGACTAGAAAAACGAGAAGAATATTAGAAAAGTTCTAAATTAAGATCTGAAATTTAGAGAAGTTAGGATAGACCCCCCGAAATAGCAAGCTAAGTTTACGGCAAATATGATAAGTGAAATATCGCTGATCATATACATGTTCTTAAAGCAGTCGATTTCTTTTCCCCTCGATTATACGGCCGAGGGATAAACTATAGTCAAGTACAATCGATCTACTGAAAAGCTCAAACACATCCTCTTTTCCGAGAAAGATGTCACAACATGTACACGTGTCGTCTGTTACTGTTTTGTGCTTGCAATTTAGGATGTAGCAATTGAGAGAAAGATACTTTTGTTAACAAATTTTTAGATTGAAGTGGATCCGATAGGGTGTTCTTCGAATAGATGCAAATGTTGCGGGTGTGTGTTATTCAGTTTCAATTTTTTGGCTATACTTGGTCGCAGTGCACTGTAAAAAATAAAAAGGAAAATTTTGTAGTAGAAATACAAAGGAAGGGAAACTCTGTACATGAGAGTTTGGCGTTGTTATCGTTAAGTTTGGCCTGGCTTCCGTAATGCGGAAATTAGCATCCGCTGTTTGCTGCCTTCGTAGCGTACATATTGACAGTTTTGTTCGTGGCTAAACTCGAAATCGTCAATATATTTAATCAGAAACTATTTTCACAAGTGATCGAATAAAGGTTTCTAGGTAATTCCGGAAATTAAAGTGTTTATTTCAGGCCCGATTGGCTTGGGTTCTTTTCCAAAACTGGCATCTCGAAGAAAACCTTTCGTGCTAAAGTTTATTTTCAGTGTAACCTTTAAACCTTGTCGCATTTTCGAGCTTCAGAAAACAACAAAAATGAATTAAGTGTAGACAAGGATGTGTGTTTATCGAATCGCTCTACGAGTGGACTCTGGTGCCTGAGACGTCACTGGACCACGCCAGACAAAACGAAGTGAAATGCAAACTAATTAGAAAGATTCAGAAGAGCCATGAAATTGTATATGATATATTTGCAGTCTACTAATTATATCCTATTTCTGTTGGTTTGCTAGCTAGTAGTTGTAGAAATTATGATTAACTTGTTGGTGTTAAGCACTTCTTGATAGGGAATTAACGTACTCCATTATATTATACACTCCTAGTATATTTTCTCGCGTTTAACACAACGAGTTTCATTGCAATCGCTTTATTTGATGAAATTTCCAATAGTCTCCCAGTTAACGAAAAAAATGGATTCGCACCAAATTTGCTCAGCGCAAATCTGATGCAAATTTGTGCAAAATGAGGAATAAATCCGTGCAAACGTAGTAAATGCCACATTTGCATACCTATTTACACCCCGGTGTACTGAATAGGTATGCAAATGTGGCACTTACCACCTTTGCACAGATTTCCTGCATTTTCGGCGTAATTTTTATTTTGGCTTCATTTGAAATGCTGAGAAACTAGGATTAGGGTCCCTACCTCCTTCCTTTTTTCCATGCTTCTCTCCTTAATTCTCTTTTTTACCTTCTTTTATTTCCTTCCTCCCTTCCCTTCTTTTATCTTTCCTTTCTTATCGTCATTGACTTGTAACTGTAAGAATTTTTTTTTTTCAGACCAGGGAAATCAATATGTTGATGTAACCTGAGCATAATGAATGAACAGAGTAAGTAAGATTGCATCTACAAGATAAGTTAACTCACTGTTTGGCTGTCTTCTATCTTTGACACAAGAGGAGTTTGAAGGTCACCTCCACTAATCCTCCAATGTTTTTGCCCCCATAGTGGTTGTAGAAAACGATGATGATTTTAACGTGATTCAGCCAAAACTCCTGCAACAATTAAAGACCATTCTAGATCAATACCCTGATGATGGGCAGATACTGAAGGTAATATTCATTTAGTTAAAAAGCCTTAAAACCGATCTTTCTCAACAAATATATCCCTTTTACCATTTAAATGTCTGCGTACGTTTTCTGACGCTTATTTTTGTCACACCCGGTGTTTAAAGGAGGAGGGAAATCCGGGTAACACCGCGCCTCCCACCCCCTTGGTTCCCTTTCACGGCAAGCAAACAGCCTGGATATAATGTATAGATTTAGCCAGGGCTAAAAGCGAAGCTCCCGTTAATAAATTCATAATTTAAATCAAACAATAAACTTGTAATCCACAGATCAGGGCACATTCATTTGACATTTGAGGCAAAGGCTTAGTGATTTTAGAGAAACATAATTTGACAGTCTAAGAGTGAAACAAATTTTACATCGAGTTATTAAATAGTCTTATTTGTACACCCAAAAATAGCAATCATGTTCGATCACAGTAGATTAGGCCTGGAAAACAAGTAGACCTATTCGTGTATTGTATTTGCATAAGCTGTTGTGGCATTCACCAGTCTCTCCAACAATGCTCCGTTAGAGAGACTATGGATAATTGGACACCCCGAAATGTAATTTTAAGAAACACACGCGCCACGATAGTCCTTGGTGGCAGCTAATTTACACGTTGCATTCCACTTTTTAAGAGAGAGGCCAAAATAAAAAATCAGTCCGGATTTTTTGTGTTAGACAAGTTCAGTTTACTAGTAAATCTTGCGACGAATCTGGTGGCGTGTAAACCAGCCTTTTAAACATATTTTTTCTCATCACGTCTCAGGTAAACAGTACTATGAGGCCCTTTTTTTTATCATACAGACCTCGGACAGAATTTGTTCTTTTTTTCCCTATTTAAACCTACAATTCTGCAGTTTTTCACAATTTTGCAAGAGAATTTTTGCACTCGTTCAATATCCACGACGATCAAAGCCACGCTTCCTTTGCACAGCAAATTATAGCATTGAATTATAAAACGTTTTCGTGAAGAGAATTCTATAATGCCGGGACTTTTCAGTTAGAAAAATCTGGTCCTATGTGATATGCAGGGTAATAATTATGGGCTTTTAATGAAAACGATTAAATAATTCCCAAAATCACTTTTCGGCCAGCCAGACGCGTTCTCACTTGTGGCAGGCACCAAATTTGCAATGCGATTAATAGAGTTACCATTTACGCTTCAACATGATAGATAAATTGTTACGTTTAGGTTTTATTTCCCTTTATTTATCAAACTGTGTATGGTTTTGTTATGTGTAATCTTTAAAAGCGAGTGACATTTACGCGCGGCGTTTTGAGTATTCCTTCATGCGATGTTTATGTTCGACTAGAAACAAGCGGTGCAGCGATAAAAATTGCGAGAGGGGCTACTAACAATCAATAAAGTAAATATTATTCGGTGAAACACGCACAGAGACAATAATTTTCATTCACGAAGAGAAGTATTGAGAGTAAAGTGTCTTTGAAAATCTTGAGTCAGATAAGCATAAGCTTATTTATGTTTTAAGCCGGCTTCCTGGTGTTTGCTCTTTTTCAAGATGAACTCGAGGGAGGAAAATCGCTCAGCGCTTTCTGCTTACAGCCAAAATCATAACTAAATATCCTTCGAAACGTCCTCTTTGAATTTGCGGTCAAAAAATGTCTAAAGGCTTTTCAAACCTGATACTATTGTAGATAAACTTAAGCCGCATAAACCATACGCTCGACGTCAGGAAACCAAAAAAAAAAAATACATCAAATACAATAATTGCTCAGGCTTACCAGTCGAGATGCTGCTTGTGAAGGTCATCAAGTGTTCCAGAATCGCTTGAGACTTTTCAACCCTCTTACGCCTCAAGCAAGGCCAAGTGAGTAAGCTCATTTTTGAAAACGATGCTATCCGAGATCGGATTTCCAATGACTTTGACAAGCGGCGCATTTGTCAACAAAAAGCGCAATAAACAAACCAGCCATGAATTACAGAACAATCTTGATAGCAGCTGTATTTCATTTTGTACACCAAGTAGAAAAAGACAGTTTAAAACATCACAAGATGACACAAAACTCTGTCAGACGCTGCATAAATTTTCTGCATGAACACACCTGTCAAATTGTGACCAATCAGAACATAACAATTGGACGTAGAGCGTGATCAACGCGTGACAGTGAGAAAAGTCAAAAGTGATTGCCTTCCCTGTATGTTAATGTAAAAGCCGGTTGAATTTTCGCGTCCGAGGTCAGTTCGAAATCAACATTTTAAAAGTGCGGCTCATGAACACGACTTATTTCATATGCATTCTAAAAAAAAATTGAACTTGAGCCTGCAATAATTGAAAAGTCTCAACTTGTCAGCTGATACCTTCAAAAAAACACTCGAACTCAGTGGGTCGATACCTGAGTCCGCGATAGGGTCAGGCGATACTGGTCAGCAGAAACACTATTTTGACAGCTGTCAATTAATCAAAAGATGTATGTACAATATCGGGTTGTAGGCTCCCAAACTAGCTAGAAAGTGTGAGATTATACATTGGTATGCCTGTGGTGCAGACGAACGGAAGGTCGGGTGGTCGGTGTACGGACACGTGATTGCCGAATTTTCTAGGATGGATAGATTTTCTAAGCTATGGGGCTTCCAATTGAGTCCGTGGTCAAATAAAATATCAGCGCAAAACTTTAAACACTACGTGACCTCAATGGATAGAAAAATGAGCCCGTGATACACTCAGGTGATGATGGTCAGCGTATACTCTAGTTTGACAGCTGTCAGTTAACCGTCATTAGAATGGCGAATATTCGAATTAACAGACTACGAGTGTGAGTAAGACATATCCGTCCGGCATGTAGTGGAAAATGCCAGATCGTGTACCCGAGCGCACCTGAGCCCACGTTTATAGTTTTCTGATAGTGGTCTGCACATGTCCCATTTTGACAGCTGTCAATTGACCTTAATTTGGCTTGCCAATATAACTATAAACGACTATCAGCCAAATGACAGCCTTGCCCGGCGTAGTTTCGTTTTTATGTTGAATTGGTAAGTGTGACATATTATATCAGCTTATGTGTAGGGGCAAAACGACTGGTCTTTCATCTGAGCTCGCGAGATGGTCATGTGATAACCGTCAGCGGATGTCTGACTTTGACAGCTGTCAATCTATTCTTACTCATACGGATGGCTTACATAACTAAGAGGCTAGTCAAGTTGTGTAAGATCTATTGTGAAATTTGACATCGGCTTACGTGAAGTGTGTGTACGGGTGGGCGGGTTGGCGTACGCTACGTCATAACCAACTTTTCTCGGATGGATAGTTTACCAAATTTTCTTACCCATGGTGCTCCGCTGCGCGCGCGAGAGAGCTCCGCTATTAACGTCAATCCTGTAGTTATCCCACTTAAGTTAAACCAGTTGAACCTGTTTTTAGTGTCATCCCTTTAGAGCTCAATGTGCTTGTTAGCAGTTGCTCATATTTGCTGCCGGGCATCAGCCGGCAGCACCCATATTCTTGAGCGATTTGAGATTTTTTGGTTCAATGGTTCAATGGTTCCATGGTTCAATCAGCAAGGTGACCAATCAGCAAGTGCTTAGCTGCCGCGCCTGTTTTTCTCTTCAGAGCAACCGCCATTTTGTTTTGTTCTCATGTGAGTTTAAGATTTGTGCAGAAGTTGTAGTACATCGGATGTTTACTGTCTTTTTAAACAGCCTAAACGGTAAGAACAGTTCAAGAACTATTGTACGGGACATTTTTCCGGTTTTTTTTTAATGCTAGGTTTCAAGATTAGTTGTAGCGAGTATTTTTTGTCACGCAGATTGTTATCTCGGAAATCAGGATTGTAAGTTGTGATCGGCGTGTACTGTACGTCTACCTGACCTGTGAATAAACAAGTTTTGGCCCTTAGTCTTCACGTTATTTGTTCGCAACTCTTCTCGTCATGTACACGATGATTGTTCGATGAAGAAACAGTCTATCAGCACTGCTGTTGTTAAAATGAATGACAAAATCATGTTGAAACTCTGGCGAGTCAGTATCTGAATGTAAACATATTTGTCATTGTGATCGGTTCATTTTTTGTATTTTACTCTGAGTGCATCATAATTCTATGTTATTGACTTTAAGAAAAAAATTCATATGTTTAACTGTTCTACATATTGTCTTTGTTCTATTCGCATCGCAACTCACGGCAGCACTTCCCTTCTCAATGAGAACTTCTAGTTTATTTTTTAAGGAACTCATTCAAAATGCTGAAGATGCTGGTGCGAGCCAAGTGAAATTCCTGTATGACAAACACAGCTATGGAGAAAAAAAACTGCACGACGAAAAGCTTGCCACGTATCAGGTGAGTTTTGAAAAAGGGGTAGGTAAGAATTGAGTGCAGTGTTTTCGGCAGTTTTCTGAGAGATAAGCAACAGGATCTTACAATATCTGCAGGGTCTTACCTGACTGACAGCCACCATTGCTATCGTCTGTCTTTGATGGGTTGTGGGATTGGGTGTGGCCGGGGAGCGCCACTGAATCTGGTGGTGCTTTTCCCCGCGACTGGGCAGGTTTTTGTTTAGTAAAACTGATCGTTGGATAGTGCCTTCAGTTCAAACTTGTAATTGCTTCGTAACAGGGACCAGCGCTTTATGCGTACAATGACGCCGAGTTTACCAAAGGCGACTGGAGGGGTATCAGAATGCTCTGTGACAGTAACAAGGTCAAAGATCCAATGAAAGTTGGTCGGTTTGGCCTTGGTTTCAAGTCAGTGTTTCACATGACAGGTAGGTACATCGCACGGAACAATTCGCGCCTTGTATATCTGATCGTCTGCATCCAATGTTATTTTTAGCGTTTTTTGTTTAGCTTTTTATTTCGAGAATCATTGGCCATGTTAAGAATTAAGAAATACGATTTATTGTTTGTTACTAGCAAATTAGCTAATAGCTTATAATCGTCCACAAAAAGAATAGAAACATAATAAAAATCAAACACAGCTGAAACTTCGCAATGACTTAAGACAAACTAATTGGCTATCTGTTACTGAGGATACCCTAGCTCATTATATGACCCTGCATTGGCTGGTTCCGGACGCGTGTAAGATAAAGCAAACCCTGTGTTGTTATTTTAATCAAGCCTCTTTTGCCCTTTAAGGATTTTCCTCTTAGGCCCTGCCAGAAATAGTTCTCTTGAGAATATAATAAATCCATCACTCAATCACTCGCCACTTATGTTCGGTCAAGATGGCTGGAGGTTAGCCTCGTGCTTAGTTTTTGCCTTTTCATTGACCTCAACTTCACGAAAAGTTACTCTGGCAATATCTTGCTATGTTGGCGTCACGTTTGGTCAATAACGCATAAAGGCATATATCTGAAGCATTTTTCCTTGGCTTTTAGATTTACCGAGTATCCTCAGCAACACACGGATAGGTTTCATTGATCCACTGGAGCACTTGACTGATGACTGGAATCAAATAACTGGGTTCAGCTGGCTTTTAAAGGAGAGTGAAAAAATGGAACGTATACAAGATCAGTTTCGTCCTTACAAAGAAATATTTGATTGTAACGATGAAGTCTTTTCTGAAGGAAAGTACGGTGGGACATTGTTCCGTTTCCCTTTACGGCACACTCCGTCCAAATTATCAGAAACATTGTACTCGAAGGAAAAAATGGAAAGGTTGTTTGAGAGTTTCGTTGGCGATGCTCACCTTGTGCTTTTATTTCTTCGAAATCTGGAATCCATTGAGCTCTACGCGCGAGAGATTGCAGAATCCATTCCAAAAAGAATCTTTCAAGCGAGAATCAGTGAAGATAGCCTTGAGTTAGTTAGGAAGAAAAGGAAGGAGTTCTTTGAAAAAATCGAACCAGGTAAACGCATGCTTGAGCCTGTCACAGTGACGTATCGAGTTACAATTGAGACGGTTGTGCGGGAAAACAACATTCAGCAGTTTTCCTTCCTTGTCACAAGCTACTGCTGTGGTGGGGAGCTCTCATCCGAGTTTGAGACGCTTCTGACAGATGAAGAACTTAGCTATTTACCCTCCGTTGGCGTTGCTATGGGGGTTCCCCCGACAAAGGACCTTCCGACGCCTGATGTTGCGGGGCACGTGTTTTGCGCTTTGCCTTTGCCTGTGCAAAAAAAGAGCATGACAGGTTTGCCCGTTCATGTAAATGGATTCTTCGCCCTCACTCAGAACAGACGCCACATCAAGACACCAAACAAAGATCAAGATGACCGAAGCAAACTTACTGACAAGTCCTTGTTATGGAATTGCTGTTTGATGGAAGAGGCTCTTCCAAAAGCCTATGTCACGATGATTAAGGAAGCCATAATCAACTTCAACGTGAATCCCGATGCAGTGTACAAGTAAGGTTTTACTTTGCTTATTAAATCACAGGAAGGCCTTTTTTAATCGTGATTTTTTCTCATAACGTTGCAGTGTTATTGGCATGTGGTTGTGTATAAGTTAATGGGATGCGTGACCTCCTTTATTTCGGAGTAATTTCCTCGGCGTAACAACCTTATTGCATTGGGATTCTTTAACATCCTCCTACGTGCCTGGTATTTAAATATATTGTGTACAGGTAACACAGTTAGTTTGTACTAAAACAGAGAAAACAATGAGTTTTTTTCTATCGTTAGTTGACAAGGTGAATAGGTCCAGTACTTGCACTTCGTCAAAGCCAATTGGGATTGAGGACCTCGGTAGGAACGTGGTAACAGAAAAACCCAAAAAAAGCAAAACACATTTGAATGAAAGGCGTTTTTTGAAGTTTTTTTTGTGATTTTAGGTGTCGATTTCAAAGACAAATTTTCTTTTCTATTTAGCCCTTTCGACCCGGAAGTGCACTTAACCGCGCTCTTGCGGATCCAATTCCTTTCTACCGCCTGTGAGGCCATCATTTCTACGGTCACGGAGAGCTTTGTCCGCTAACTGTGTACGGTGAAGAGATCTTTCAAACCATACCAGAATGAGGACGAGTGAGTCAAGGAGGCCGGAGAAAAAGTCAAAAAAGCGTGTGGCATTGACCTGAAAATTTCCAATGTAAATCTTCTTCTATTACCGCCTACCTTACTCTTTCCTGTCATCAAATCCTAAGAACCTAAAAGCTTTCACAAAAACTTTTCCCACCAAAATGTAGCATACGTAATGCCCAGTAAAAGTCAAGACTACTGTGACACCTTTTTGAATCCCAGAACTTTCTGCGCATGCTTGAACTTCGCGAGCTAATATTTTGCGTCTGGATCAGAAGGCCGCAAAGTGTACGACCTATAAGCGGTTTTGTGGTAAGGTTTATTTCTTTTTAGCAAGACAGTGATGAGAAAACCGCTCAACTACAACCCTGGTTAAAACGTTTGGGACATTTTGTGTTTCAGGTGAGGAGATGTATTTCAAGTTGACCCCCCCCCCCCCCCCCTAAAAGGTGTGGGGGGGTACAGGAAAAAACCTTTCCACATTTTTCCAACCCTTTTTAACCCTTTTTTGGGGGGGGGGGGGGGGGGGGGAAATTTTTTTTGGGGCTGTTTTTGGGTGGGGTTATGGGGGTTTCTCTAAAATTTCCAAAAAAAAAAAAGAAAAAAAGGGGGGGGCCCCCAACGAGTTTTCCCCGGGTGTAGTGTTAAAAAAACCCTTTGTAAATTTTTTCTGGGTATGGTTGAAATTTAGTGAAAGAAAAATTGTTTTTTTTTATTTTGGGATTTTACATTAACCTTTCCCCCCCTGGAATTTTTGCCGAAAAGCGGTTTTTGAGCCTACATCCCGGGCAAAAACGTTGGGGGACCCCTCCCCTTTTTACCTTTTTTTTGAAGGGAATTTGAAGGTACCCGCCATTCCCCCCCCAAAAAACCGGCCTAAACAAATTTTCCCCCCCACCCCCCCCCCTGAAATGGGTTGGTGTTGAAAAGTCAAAAACCTTTCACATTTCTGACAACCGTTATAGACCATTGTTCGGGGGGGGGGGGATGGGGGGGAAATCTAGTTAAGGCCGTGTTTATGAGTGTGTACTGCAGGTTACCTGCAAATTCCATACAAAAACAAGTGAAAAAGGGGAGGTGTCCCCAAACGTTTTGGCCCGGATTGTAGCTTCAAAACGCGCTTTTCGGCAAAATTTCCAGGGGCGAAATGGTTAATGTAAATCTCCATAATAACAAGAAACACTTTTGATTCAACTAACTTGCAACCATCGCCAGAATAACTTATCCTTGCTTTTTCTGTTACATGCTCAGTATTTAAACCACACATAACAAAAAATCGGATCCAAATTGAATAAAATTTGTAAAAATAAAACAACCACGTCAGTGTTTTCGTAAATGAATGATATTTTTGTGAAGAAAAAACTGACAAAACGTCAACTGAGCTACGTACTAGACGTCGGAAAGAAACCTCGTTATTGCGCATAATATAGTTTTTTAGTTACTTGATTCTTACAAAGAAACTTCTATATTATTTGTCATTCAGAGCATGGCCACATAACGCAGTTATTGACCCAGCTTGGGAAAGACTTCAGGGACCATTTTTACAGCTGATGTGTGGTGAACCCTTCGTATACACTCCAGCTAGTGGAGGTCAGTGGCTGAAGGCGGAGGAGGCTATCTTTGACACCATCCACAAACATGACAGCGAACTTAAGAAGCTTCTCGTCACAGTTTTGCTTCAAGCCAATCAAAATGTTGCCTGCCTGCCCGATCATGTGCTGGAAGCCGTATCTGTCACACAAGAGATGGAGATCACTCCCTCGCTGGTCCGAAAAGTGCTCAAAAATTTCCCAACCGGCTATAGGACCCTTGAGCGAATGCATAAATTGCTACTTTTGAAATTCGTCTTGAACGGCCAATACACAAACGTTGAAGAACTCCTTGGTTTAGAGTTATTACCCACTTCGAATCAAGGTTTTACGTCTTTTTCAAAGCATGATAGAGCTATTTTTATCTGCTCACGTGAGTATCCTCAAGAAGTTCAGCTTTTGCCAGGCCTAGGGCATCGCTTTTTAGACCACGACGTTGACGAACAGCTGTTTAGAAGCCTAGAAGCAGTTGCAGAGAAAGGTATGTTTATTACGAAATTACTTGACATGACATGCGGGTAACTGAAGGAGTAAGTCTCTATGAAAGGCTAAAGCAAATTTAAGAACTGGAATAGATATTCTACGTCATGAATAAATATAATTTGCTATATCCTGCTTCATTTCTTGCTGTAGCATAAGTTGAGTATTTAACTGCGATGATCTTTTCCGCATTTATATTTTCATCTTGCAGTTCAAATACATGGAATTTATTTGTCATTTCTTCTTCATCTTTCCCGGGTATATTACGAAACAATTTAATGACCAGCCCCCAGTTAGATTGCCAGCGCTGCACTGGTGTCGCAGGACGCAGAGTTCTAATCCCGGCTAGCCTGAATTTTTCCAGGCTTTTTTTGACAAAAGCATAAGTTGCGTATTTAGTTATGATCATCTTCTCTACATTTAGTTCTTCTACTCATGATAATTAAATTGTCAGTGCAAAAAATTATTCATCACTCGAATGACCGCAGTGGAAGCTAGCCACAGTCTGAGAAAGAACGTGGTTAGAGCTGTCAGGAGAAACATTGGTACTTATGTCCTTACAGTACCGCTAAACAAACACGGTTTTATTTCCATTCAGCGAAATATTTTCAACTGCCTTGAACTGATCAAAACCAAAGACAACAATTTCATTGCGATTTCAACGGGAATATTCCAGATTCTTATCCGCTTTCTTGGCTCGTAAGCCTTTGGGAGGTTTACAATACTCTGACACTAGGAACATTTTTTGCTTGAGTTGCAGGATCCCGATTGTAACTGGAAGTTAATAGGAAATGAGAGTCTTCGTTTACTTTATTTCTATATAGGATTCACCCAGTTGCAGCGTCTTTGTAAAGATCATATGCCAGATCTACTTCGCGAGGCCCTGCCATCTGAATGGGAAGGTAAAGATATGGTTAAATGGTATCCCGATGATAACAGATACAATCATCCCACGAAGAACTGGCTCAAGCGCGTCTGGGACTATCTACGAGAACAATTTGAAAAAGATCTCTGTAACTTTAAGAACCTTCCTTTGATTCCACTTGACCTGTCTTGCCACCCTATAGAATTAACAAAGATAGCAACCCCGTCGAAAATTGTTGCGAGCAGGCCGGGTGAAAAGCATGATATCCTAGAAAGCTCTCGTTGTCACGTGTTAAAGGCCTTGGGTGTTATAATCATGAAGAATTCTCCACATTTTCTGAAAAGCCATCCTGGAATAGATAAATTTGTTCACCCACCATCTGCCACACGTATATTGCAGGCGATGTTGTCTTCTTCCCGCGTGATGGGGGAAGGCATACACTCGGCTATTCTGAGCGACGTTGGAGATAATGACAGGCGTTCGTTAAGAAAATTAATTGCTAAAGTGCCATCCTTGTCTTTAAAGGAGAAGGAGTATCTTTCGTGCCTTCCACTTTTCGAGACGCTGTCTCAGGACTTCGTGTCCAAAAAGCAGGGGCTAGGTGCCGCACCAAAGGAAGCGTTGCCATTTAAACCCCGTGGAGACTTTATTGATGCGAAAGAGCCCGACTCCATGGCTTTGGCGCGCTTGCTAGACATCCAAATACCGACGCTGATCGAATTTCTGTGCGAAAGAATACTTCCAGATGTCAAAGGAGGAGGCTATATTGAGCCCGAGATTGATAACGTGATTATGTTTGTGATGGGTCATATTGACACCGATGCAAGGCTAGTAGAGGAGATGAAAACTTTGAAATTTGTCTCAACTAACAGTGAAGGACGGGTTTCAGCTATGGAACTCTTCGATCCTAGAAAAGGCAAACTAAGAGACATTTTTGCTGGCGAAGATGTTTTTCCCGTCTCGCGGTATGCTGCTCCTGAAGTCCTTAGATATTTAGAGAAACTTGGCATGAAGAGTGAGGAAGATATCACAGCTTATGACCTCTACAAAAGTGCCACGAAGGTCGGTGAAATTGTAACACAGACAGAGGTAGAGAGGAAGTCGAAAGCAATTCTGAGTTATCTCTGCAGACATCCAAAGAAGCTCGAGGAGAACGTCTCTGGCGTGTCGCTGGGAATAAAGCTTCAAGATGTCTCTTGGATATCCCCAGTGCGAGTAAAGCCCCTTAATTTTCCCAATAGCCTTCCTTTCTACGGAGAAAATGAAACAGAAACTTATTTCTTCAAGCCCACAGAGGTAGAGACAGAAGATAAAGTGTCCATAATTGGAGCAATAAGGCCTGTTGTTTCAGTTAATTCATCAAGTGAAGTAGCCAAACATCTTGGTTGGGACAAGAGTCCCCGTGCACTGGACGTTGTGGAGCATTTTAAACTCTTGATCGATTATTACAGAAAGGATGAAAAGCCACATTATATGTTAATGGTGGGCGAAATTTACTCTTTCCTTCTTAAGACAGATGAGACTCACGTGGAACAAGCGTTGGAGGGAATCAAGAGCTCAAGATGGATTTGGAATGGAGACGGCTTTTCCTTTCCGAATGCTGTGCTTGCGGGAAAGCCTTCTATTGACCTCTCGCCTTACATTGCATGCCTTCCTACAGAGATGAACAACTACTCTGAATTGTTTTCCAAGTGTGGCATGCAAGAGCAGTGTGATGTTTCATGCCTGCTGTTTGTCCTTAAATTGATTAAACAGAAGTATGATGATTGTGAAGAGCGACAGTTTGATTCTAAAGAGGTGGAAAGAGATCTACAGTTGTCTATCAACATTTTGAATAAGGTGGAATCCGAAGTCGGAGGCGAGATATCACCAGAACTTCTCCAGGACGTTTTGCTTCCAACTTTCGTAGAAAACGATGCTTATGTGAAGCTAGCGCAAGTGGAAGAATGCGTTTATTTAAAGCACGGGTCGCGACCATTAGATGATGATGAAAGCATGGATTATCTACTATTACACCGAAAAGTTCCTTTTAGCACTGCAGAATATTTCAACGTTCGTACCCTACAGAACAGTATGCTAGATCCTGATGAGCTTGGATTTGGGGAAGAGTGTGGACAGGAAGAAAAACTTACTAGTCGACTCAGCACGCTCTTGGAGGACTACACCGATGGATTTGCAGTACCGAAAGAACTTATTCAAAATGCAGACGACGCGGGTGCAACTGAAGTTAGGTTCCTGTACGATGAAAGAACCAACGAGGATGCAATGGATTTTTTGTTTGACGAAGGAATGAGAGACTGCCAAGGTCCTGCTTTGTGGGTGTACAATGATGCTGTTTTTCAGAACGAAGATTTTCAAAATCTGACTAAGTTAAATGGAGCGACAAAAGAAGAAGACACACAAAAAATTGGAAAGTTTGGACTTGGCTTCAATGCAGTGTATAATCTGACAGACGTTCCTATGTTAGTGAGCCGAAACTACTTTGTTATCTTTGATCCTAACACTTTTCATCTTGGAAAAGCCATAAGAAACAAAACAAAACCAGGCATAAAGATTGACACCAACAAAAACGTAAAGAAGCTGCGAAATTTTCGCCATCAATTTAAGCCGTTTAATGGTATCTTTGGCTGTGATCTCTGTCTGGAAAAAGAAGACAATTCATTCCACGGAACACTGTTTCGCTTCCCTTTACGAACCAAAACTCAGGCTATAAAGAGCGAAATAAAACAACTTGCTTATGACTGCAAGCAAATGAAAGAACTTTTACAGATTTTTATCAAAGGGGCTGGATCGTTACTACTCTTTACGCAGAATATCTGTCGAGTCAGAATTTTTCACTTGTCCAAAGAGGCGACAGATGCGAGACAACCCAAAATGTTGTTTGAAGTAACGAAGTCGTTAATGCAAGGAGGAATCATACGGAAGTTGCCTGTGCAAGTCGACCTCCCTTTTGCTGCCAGCAGTCTCAGCAAAGACGATAAACTCTGTCTGGAGCAATGCAACTTTCTTAAGGCATCAACAATGGCTGCTGATCAATTTGTCGAAGAAGCAGAAAATGAAAGCGCCGTTTTGCTGAGATCAGGGCTAATCCTTAACATTCAGAGCATCATGACGGATGATGGACGCCTTTTCTTTCAAGACACTACTACTCTACCAACAGGTGTCGAGACTTGGCTTGTCGCCTCTTCCATGGGCAAAGGCGAAGCACTGAAGCTTTCCCGGAGTGAAAAAGGTCTTATTCCTTCTGCAGGAGTTGCTGTTCGACTGTCCCTTGACAATGGCTCTGTTTCAGGGCCTCTATGTCCTTCAGATTTTAAAGGAACCTTGTTCTGCTATCTTCCACTTCCAATCCACAGCGGTCTTCCTTTACACGTTAATGGCGCTTTTGCAGTGGCCTCAAACAGACGTACTTTGAAACAGAAAACAAATGACGACAAAGCCTGTGTTGGAGCAGAGTGGAACAATATTCTGTTCCAAGATTCAGTCTGCGCAGCGTACCTAGATCTTCTTGAAGACGTTAAGTCATCTAGTACTCAAATGTCTAGGAGCAAATACCTGTATCATTGGCTTTGGCCCTTGTCTTGTAAAGTGGAAAAGGCCTGTGAACCGCTCGCGAGATCACTTTACGATCACCTTGCTTCTGGTAGTAGTTCCCTTTTCTCAGATGGAGAAAAATGGGTCAGCATCCATGAGGTTGTCTTTCTCGATCCACGGTTCCGCCATGATTCTAATATCGGTGACATTTCTTTTAAAGTATTTCAGGCGTTGGTTTCTAGGGATGTAGCTGTGATCGATCTTCCTTATGATGTGTACAAATCCTTTGCAAACTATGGGTACGAAGAACTTATCCATTCCAAAAGGTATGATGTAAAGAGGTTCTTTGTCGAGCTATTTTTCCCCAACATTGGTTCTGTCCCGTCTCACTTAAGAGACAGGCTGGTCATGTACGCACTGGATGAGAAAAATGAGTGGCTTGACGAGACGATTAAGGGCCATAAATGCATTCCAACAACACCGCTTGGTGAATCCCTGAAGTGTCCCAGCAAGCTAATAAGTCCAAGCGGAGTCACTGCTTCCTTGTTTTGCCCGTTAGATGAAAGGTTTCCACACGGAAGTGAACAAACATTTCTTCATCCCCAAAGACTATTTAAACTCCAGCAACTTGGAATGTCAACCGACGATCTCTCCTGGGCAGAGGTTGCCGAAAGAGCAGAGAGCATCAGTGTCTTAAATCAAAAGTCTACGGACGCAGCTACTAAAAGAGCCAAAAACCTGATCGATTTCTTAGAAAAGAAGCTGACTCTTGAAGGTACATCTTCTTTGCTGAGTGAGGATTATTCTAGAATTTTGAAAGCAAAATTTCTACCAGTTCTCAAGAAACCAAAGTCTTTTCCTCTTATTTGGAAGGGGAGTGAAAGTGATCGTAGAAAAAATCAAGTGTTCGTATCGTCGATGGAGGGATTTTTATCCGAGCACATGTATTTAGTATGCTGCAGCCAGCCAGTCATAGAAGAGTCTCTCGCACAAAAAACCAAAAAGTTTCTGAGATTAGACGGAAAACGACCCAAACTGATGCATGTATCTGAACAAATTAAAAAGGCAATTTCTACAGGCTCAGGAGCCGGTGATGCTGAAACTGAGGAAATAAGAAAAGTTTGCATCCAGTCCTACCAATTCCTTCAGGAAGCTCTCGATAGTCATGAAACGCAAATAGCCGATTTTCTTCGACGTTCAAAATTCATTTTTGTGGGAGATAGGTTTGTGCCTTCAAATCAAGTTGCTTTAAAGTTGGAGGGTGATTGTTCTCCATATTTGTACAAGCTTCCAAATGATTTAGCCAGGCGATACTTACCGTTAATGCAGGTGGCTGGCGTGAGAAAGGTTTTCCAGGTGGAAGATTTTATTTCTGCTCTGAAGCGCATTAAGCAAGATTTTCAAGACGAAAAACTAGACGAGGAGAAACTTCGTGTTGCAATAAGCCTGGCGGCTCAATTGAAAGAATCACTGGAGAAGTCCAAAGTGCAGATTACAGCTGACTTTAAAAGGGAATCAGTTTACCTTCCAAATTCGCGTGGAGTAATGCAACTCGTAAGTGAACTTTGCATTGATGATTGCCCCTGGATTTCTAACAACGAAGGCGTCCAGTATGTCCATCCCGAAATCCCCGTATTAAACTGTTACCACTTAGGAGTTAAAACTCGTCGAGCAGCAGCCTTGCGGCATTATACTCATGGAATCCCATTTGGTCAGAGAGAAGAACTGGCGAATCGTTTAAGGCGGATTTTGGAAGCCTTTCCATGCGAGAAGGAGCTCTTGAAAGAACTTCTCCAAAATGCTGACGACGCTCAAGCAACCGAAATTTGCTTTATTCATGATCCCCGACACCATTCAAAGGAAAGAGTATTCGACGAATGCTGGGAACCTTTGCAGGGTCCGGCATTATGTGTGTACAACAACAAGCCTTTTACGCAGGCCGACATTGAAGGAATACAAAACCTTGGACAAGGAAGTAAGGCGGATGACCCAAACAAGACTGGGCAATATGGCGTTGGTTTCAATGCCGTCTACCACTTGACAGATGTTCCTTCCTTCATGTCCAGTGGCGAAGAAATTGGCGACGTCTTATGTGTATTCGATCCACATTGCCGGTATGTCCCTGGAGCAAGTTCTCAAGTACCTGGAAGAAAGTACACAGATACCAAACAACTAAGGACAGTTTTTCCAGACGTTTTTTCCTGCTATCTAGAAGAACATTTTCCCATCGAGAATTCCACTGTGTTCCGATTTCCTCTTCGAACACAAGAAATGGCAAAAGTTTCCAGGTTAACGAAAACCCCAGTTACCTCCCAGAAACTGAATGAAATGATGCAGTCCCTAAAGAACGAGCTCTTTGAAGTCCTCCTTTTCGTTAATAATGTCAAAAAAATTACTGTATGCGATATCGATGGAAACAGCGGCAAGATGGCAAACACGTTCTCAGTTGAGGCGGCGATGTCGGATGAAGATGAAGTGAAACGAACTGAATTCGCTAACCATATAAAGCAGATCGGAAAGTTAGCAAAAGAAAATGGAAGTGTCATCTTAAATACCGAAGTTAAGAAGTGTTCCTATGTCATGACTCTGAGGGACTCGGATGGCAACGAAGAGAAGTGGCTAATTGTTCAACAATTTGGTTTTGAAAAAACCGTCTCAGAAAGCCTAGCATTTGCTTACCGCAATCACGAGCTGGGGTTGATTCCTCGAGGTGGCGTAGCTTGTCTTTTGGAAAAGAAACCAAAGACACCTGTAGAAGCGGTAAGAAAAAAGAAAGCTTACTGTTTTCTTCCGCTTCCCATAGAAACCAACCTTCCAGTTCACATCAATGGACACTTTGCTTTGGATCACGAGGCCAGAAGAAATTTGTGGTGGGACGAAGAAAGCGGCTATCGAAGTGAGTGGAACAATGCGATACTTGAGGATGTGGTGGCATCATGCTATCTTACACTTTTATACGAAGTGAGGGGATTCTACCAATTACCATTCATGATAAACGAATCTGAAACTCTAAGATGTCCTGAAGATGATCTTCTGGAGAGGGTTAGACGTTTTGAGAATTTATTTCCACAGTTTGATGGTCCTGGTTCCCACTGGAACACGCTTGTCAGATCAGTGTATAAGGGCATGGATGAAAAACGACTGCGGCTTTTGCCTGTAGTGCGCTGCGCTTCACAAAGTACAGACCCTGGACGTTTAATCCAACTCAGGTGGTTTCCGCCAACAGGCAAAGGAAAAGACCAAGCATTCTTTAACAACATTGACAATGTTGGAAGCGCTAGCAAGCAAAGTAAACATGGAGGACGTGATCTTGGGGAAATCCTAATTCAAACGGGGTTTAATCTGCTAAGTTTTTCCTTACTTGTATTTGACGCATTCAAGAAATCTGATGTCAACACCACTTGTGTTTCACCTTCCTCGGTATTAGATTTCTTTAAGACGTACAGCTCTCAAGATTCCCTTGGCACAGTTGGAATCGATATCAGTGAGACACCGTTCGAAAACGTCCAAAGTCTTGCACTTCTGCTCAGGTACTGCAAGAGAGATTTTCATTTTCTGGAAAAATTACCTGGTCTTCCGTTGCTTCTAACGCAGGACAACATCCTTCGGGCATTTGATGTTTACAATCCCAAGTTTTTGTCTCGCTACCACGACATTTTGCCGAATTCGAAGGACATGTTTGTCCATGAACATATAAGATACAAGCTCTTCGATGACACTGCGAGTCTCGAGGCACCTTTATTTCGAAGTTTTGACGTCCAGGCTTTTTCTTTCCTTTTACCGCATTCTTTGCCGGCGTGTTCGTTTTGTCGGTCAGATGAGTACGTTACGTGGAAACCACATAGCACGATTCAGCCAAATAGTTGGTGGATCTCTAGAGTCTGGAGCTTCCTTGGGGAAGAGGTAGCACGCTTTCAGGGAGGTTGGCCAGGAAGTGTAAGCATACTGTCAGTACTGAATCCTCTGACTAACTGGAACATCCTCCCTGCAACTGAAGTGCAGGTTGAAATTGACGCAAATGATCCAAGTGTGGTCAACGAACAAGTGTTGGTTCCCTTGACACTAGCCGAATCTGTTCTTGACTTTAGGGAGCAATCTAGAAGCAGTCGACTGGATTCAGCTTTGAGAGACCTGGGTCTTCCTGAGCTGAACTGTGCTATTTTTTCTGCCTCGTCTGCAAACAATACGTTTTTGGCTTCTCAGCCCATTGCAAGGCAAATCGTAGCATCGCCTGAAAAACCAAGTTCTATCCTTGCAGCACTCCTCCAAAAGATGAAGCGAAACCCACAGTCCTTGCAAGAAAAATTGGATCTTTCAAGTTGCAAAGTCATCCTTCAGTATTTTAGCCACAACGTTGAAATCCTCGAGAAAACGCTCTGTGCAAACGACTTAGAGTCGTGCAAAACCACTCTGAGAAAGTTGCCCTTTTATTCAACTATAGACGGTCGTCTTGTCAGTCTAAATGAACAAAAAGTTTGCGTAATTCCAAGTGTTATGCCCAGAGAAGAGATGGCCTTTTTACAAGAAAAAGTGAAAATGTTGTTTCTGGAAGCCATGGAAGATCTCTCCAAACTATTTAAATTTTTGCGATTTGATTCCATCTCGACTGTGGATGTGTATTGTCAGTCCGTCCTACCACATTTCGAGGTCTTCAGTACCGAGGCACGGCAGAAGCACCTCAAGTATATCCGCGACTCCTTGCTTAATGATGCAAGCGATGAGTACAGACTGTTGCAATGCTTGAGTAACACAGAAGTCATATCCAGCCAAGAGGGAACGTTGAAAAGAGCGTCTAGTTTCTATGACCCAAGGAATGAAGTTTTCAAAGCCATGCTTCCCGAAGAAAGCTTCCCACCTGTACCCTACAACTGTCTAGAGTGGTTGCCGTTTATGAGGAAAATAGGAATGATACATGAAATTTCCCGTGATCATTTCATCAAGTTTGCCAGAGAAGTTGCACAGGAGGCATCACAGCGCCGTGCTTCGAAGACAGACGAGAAGTCAAAGCTTCTTGTTTCCAACCTTTTGAAACGATCGAAACCATCAGATGGACTGCTGCAAGGGGTTTGTAATGTTCGTTTTGTAGTCTCAGATCCAGTCGCGGATGACCTTAAAAAGTTACATTCACAGTATGGTTCAAAGGACGATGGCCTCAGTCCATACATTTCATTTCAAGACTCTGTTGTTTCTGATCATACTGAAACCGTGTGGACAGCAGCGCACATACTTCCACGATGGGCTGATCCGAGATTTTGTTTTGAAATGAAAGTACCTCAGTACTTAAAGAGGGACGATTTTACCAGCTCCATCCTTTCGGATCTGAACGTTTTATCTGAACCCACTGTGCAGATGGTTATTTCACACTGCCTTAACATTACTCATCAAGTTTCCAAACAAAATGACAAGAAATTTGCTGACGATCAGGGTACCACGAGGATGTCAGTCATGAGAAATATGTACAAGTTTTTCCAAAGAAAGGTTTCAGCAGGAAATTCTATCGTGGAGGACCTTAAGAACAAGCCTTGCATTTTGGTTGAAGAGGGGACAAGATTTGTGCAAAGCAAACAAGTGGTTCTTGAGCTGTACGAGAGCCTGGAGATATCACCATTCCTTTATCGGTTGCCTCCTGTGTTAGGGGAGTTTCAGAGTTTGTTTCGTCGATTGGGCTGCACTGATTCTGTTACAGCTTTACACTACTCCATGGTCTTGGAAATGTTACACGAGCACTGTCAGTCAATGAAGTTGAATCCAAATCATATTAAGAGTTCTTTAAAAGCGGTCCGAGGACTTTTCGAAACGCTGGAGCCAAATCCCCAGGAGAAATCTGAGTTCCAAACCTTGTACCTACCTGCAGTGTATCAGGTTAGCAGATGCTCCTTTGACAACCTGCACAAGTCGACTGATTTAATATTCGATGACGCTCCGGAATATCAGAGTAGGCTTGAAAAGTTTGACCAACTATTAGTAGTGGACCTTAAGATGGCGGAGCTGCAGTGTTCTTCCTCTATGAACTATAAGGACTACATCTTACGCCTTCCAGAAATAGTACGACCGCAATTTCTATCTGATGTCATACAAGAAAGATTAACTTCTTCCGTAGAAAATGTTGATTCTAGTTCCACTGTCATCGTTGCTGATTCCTTAAAAAAGCAATTATGTTCAAGACATTTCTTTCAAGGAATTTTGAGGTTAATTCGTCACGCAAACCATGCAAATAAATGTTTAGATGAAACTACAACTGTTCGTCTAGAAAGCAGACTTCGAAGTATTGAGTTTCTTGGACTGAACCAAATTGTGACCCACCTGGTGTATAAAGAAAATATCATTCCTGGCAGTGAAGCAGAAGTACCACACTTGTTGGAAAAATTTTCAGAAAGTGGCAGAGATGTTTGGAAGGTGTATGTCAATGGGAAGACAGAGGAGGGCGATTCTCAGATATCACTGACCTTAACGCAAGTGATCGCAGAAGCGTGTGAGGGATTGTTGCGAGAAACTGTTATGTTTATACCAGAGATGTTGCGCACGAAACCCAACAAAATTTGGTCAATCCTGGACCACATGAAAATTCGGCAGGATGACTCTTATGATCCATCGCTAAGTGATCTTTTACCTGACCCAGGTGACTTCATCCCGATTCAGGATCATCATCTCCTGGACGAAGCATTCCAAGAATTCTCTCCCGGAGAATATGTTGGTTTCGAATTGGAGGATCCAAGTCTAGAAAATCAGAAAGGAGATGCCACGTTTATCTATGCCATTATAGTTGAAGACGTCAGTGGCGATGAAGATACAAGTATCTACACAAAACGTTATAAAGTAAATGTCGGACACGACAAAGAACTGTTGGTTGCCGAGTCAGCAGATTTGTACAAATTTCATCAATTTCACCCTTCTGCTGCTAATCAAAAAGGAAGCTCCACTCAGGATGCAGACAGAGAAGAAATTTTTCGAAAAATCACAGAGGTGCTTAAAATGGTATGGCGTCTTCCTACGAGAAGAAAAAGAAAGATTATAAAGCGATTGTTTCTTCAGTGGCATCCCGAAAGAAACATTGGAGATGCCGATCTCTGCAAGAAAGTCTTTCAGTACCTTCAGAATGAAATTGAAAAGTTAGAGAGGGATGATGAAGAGAGCGATCAAGGGAGCTACAAGAGTTTTTACCATGTCTGGGCAACACGAGCCAAGCTGTATCGTACACAACGCCAAGAATACAGAGCAAAGTTTGTTAAAACATATGGCTCCTGGGAAGCCTCGACGAGCCACAGTAGAAGTGGATGGGTTCCACCAAGTTTCTGCAAGAAAAATCCCCAACCAGGTGAGGCAAGACGCTGGTTCAGACAGGCCGAAGAGGATCTAAAGGCTGCTCAAGAAGATTTGCGTTTTGGCACCACATTTTACGAGTGGGTGTGTTTCAAGTGTCACCAGGTGGGCTGGTTATGTTATTTAATCGTTCAACCTAATGTTTTTATTAGATAGGAACGTTAAAAGTATGTCTGGCAGAATTCTACTAGCAAACGTCTGCCAAACAAAGAGGCACCCACTCCAAATAGCTTTATCTTACTACTTACCAGGAAAACCAGACAATATACTTTCCCCTACCGAAATTATATGAATAGGTTAGCAAAGCAAAAGATTATGTCTATGAAAATAAAATTAAACGTTCATGGAATAAAGTTTTACCTTTTTTTTAGCCTGTCTTATGATTTTCAATAATTATGTAATTGCCAGCTTTTGACCGAAATATTTCCCAAATTCTGGTATTTTCAGGTCAAAATGATGTTACATATTTCAAAGTAACTTTGTTGCCTTTTATTTATATATTTTAAGATCGCGTGTGCATCTCTAAAAACTGATGTTAGAGGGGTTGAGAGAGGCCTTTTGTGCTTTCTGTTTTTATTGTTGTTTAGAGTGGGGGTGCAAATGTGTGGGTATTCGTGAAAAACATTTTTTTTCATGATTTATTCATTTAATTTCTTTGTGTTCATTATTATTGGTAGGCTGCAGAGAAAGCATTGAAGGCTGCCCAGTATGCAGAAGATGCCTCCAAGACGCGTGTTCATAATCTTTCATTGAATGCCAGCTATTTGGGTGACTCAGAATTAGCACGCATCGCCAGCGATCTGGAATGTTGTGTGGTGGATTCAACACGCATGCGGTACCCTGATAGGGTTAATTATCCCGCAATTCCACATGATGTCTACACGGATGGCATGGCCAGAAAAGCGTTGGGTCTAGCTAGAGAAATTCTCGAAAGAGTCCGCCAAAATTGGCAGGTTTGTAAGCAAAAATAGAGATCATCACCAGTCTTAGGGCCTGTGTCTAATGTGGACACGACGTATTTTCTTGCAATCCGTAGGGAGCTAGTACTAAAAAAGGACCTTCTCCTATGACGAATTTAAATTAGTTGGCTGATAAAAAAAACTCTGAACTCAATGATTCACGTGTAATAAAGCAAAACCTAACGTCATAGAATAGATAAACATTAATTTATCAGCCTCGTAAGAATCCATTTAGAGGTGCTGTCTCTCATTCAGAATTTAACGAAAGAAAAGACAACCGCCTTTTTTGCGTTTCTTTTGTACCTTAGAACATTGGAATCGAAGAAGAAATAGTGGGTGCTTACCATTTGACAGAAACTTTCGGAAATTACGGATGGAAGGTAAATGATAAAGTAACTTTTCCGAAAATCCAAGCGAAAATTGAAGAGTACGTTTTGAGGTAGTCCGTTCATCCCGGTTGGTACGAACGAACCAAACGAAATGTTGCTTAACATTTACCAATTTCTCCGTTCCTTGTCGGTTCCAGACTCACGCTACACAAATTCGCCCATGTTTTGGATTCAAAACCACTATGCTTTCGACACCCGAACCGGATTTTCCTGTCAAATGGTAAGCACCTATTGAACCTTGGGTGCTTCTTACAAAGATTACCGGTTGTGGCTAATGAAGCATCAGAGATTTGTTTGCAGTGTAATCATCTTTGACGCGTGTTTTTTGCTCTTAGTCTTAACATTCTTTTCCAGAGTGGTTTAGTGAATCTATGTTAAAAAACAGTACAGCGTTAATTTTTTGTGTGCTATTTTGTTTTGATCACCAACCCCGTTATTGTTAGGGCAGAGCTCAGAGAGAGCCAAGCAATCTTGATCAGGAAACCAAATCAATTATTTGAATTTACCAATGAACTATTAGGTTCTTTTCTCTGGCGTTTTCATTATATACCTAATAATAAAAGATTAAAAGGTGAAACATTAATATTTGCTGGTAGAAAAATGCCTTTTTTCAAAAACGTTACGGCTTTTGTGCGAACTGTCTTTTGCAAGATACAGTAGACGCCATGTTAACGAAAGGCAATCGTCCTTCTTTCACGCTTTCGATTTTTTTTACATTGAGAGAACATGTCCTAGACTAGAAAATGCCTCTGATTTAAGATAATTAAGGAAGGCCGTGAATTCGGAAGTGATTTGCTTTGGACTATCGTAAAACACAAGTGCATATCGTTCTTAACACTATAAACTGTAGTCAAAATCTTAAGAAGTTTTAGATAGCGATCAAACAATAAAATCAATTTCAATTGTCACCGTGCAACGTGTTATCCCGAAATATTATACACTTCTTTGATCGATAAACTCCTTTTGTTTCCACTGTACTCGGCGTTCATTGTTTACCCTCGATCTTCTACATAAAGGCAACAGAGATTGCTAAAACATCCTCGCGCTTGGTGTTTATTATATTAGGGGCATACTCCTGGACCAATCAGAGCGCGTCAGTTTATATAACATCTTAAGTAATCGTGTTAAAAAATGCATTTGGTTTCGGCAGAGGGAAATCTTAAGCCTGGTTTTCACTAGCGCATAATCATAAGCAAAAGTAAAACAGACGGGTTAATTCGTTGTTCTTGTGCTTGTGCCTATGCTTAAGTCGTAGGTTTGACTAGTGAAAAAGGGGGTCGACATAAGAATATGCATAAGTACAAGGCCGTGGACCAATCATAGGTCAATTTGACCCAAATCTCATGCGAACATATCAAAAACAATATGGCGGATTCTTCCTCCGCCATCTTGTTTATCATAGGGTTAAGGAGAACAGGTAACGAGAATTGAGTCAAATATGCCATTCTGCGCGTGCATATGTCCTTGTGCTTATGCTTATGCGCTAGTGAAAAACAGCCTTTAAGAATGTTCGCTGTCATATTTAAAAAAATTGAAAAGGCTAAGCCACTTTTTTATCGCAATAGGGACGGCGTTAGGGAGCGCACTAGAATTGTATAGATTTAAACATGGATCCGAATGGCGAGCGTTTTCTACGTTTACTGTAGTTTTGTTCAATGAGGCCCCGTAAACCTGATTCTCAACCCTAGATTGGCAGAAAAACGCGGAAACAATGGAAAATCAAGAACGTACTAAAAGTGACCTATATTCTTCAGACTGGAGGTGATAATGATGATTATAAACTAAGACACTGAGGATGTTATTTAAGTTATTTTATTACCAAATCAATCAAGTAACCAATCTTTGTAAATAAAACACCTCACATTTTAATCTTTCTGGTAAGAGTACGCATTTATCACGATTTTGTGGCCTTTTCAGTAAGGAGATAATTTTCTATTTACCAGTTAACAACAAGCCAAATTTTCGTCGCTTTCTTGCATTACATTTTTTGATACAACTGGCGACAAATATAAAAGTTAAAAAAGAAAACAGGTCAGCAAAACAACAACTCTGCACGTGCATCACACTTTTTTGTGCATCGTCGCAACATGACCACTACGTGAAAATGACTAGTTTCCCTTAATGGGAGGACGTAAACGGCATATGGCGAAATTGTCTCTGAACTTTGATAGTTCTTATGAATTCCACTCCAGGAAAGTTCGCATCAAAGTGACGTTAGGTGAGTAGGAATAATCGCGATGAAGATTGAGTGAATGTGAATTCGCTTTTAAAGGGAAGTTTTCGTGGAATTTAACAATGGACTTTACGATCCGACGATGCGACGGCAACGAGAACGTCGAAAATTACAATAGGTGTAGTAGACAAAACAACAGCTACGCACGTGCATCTTACTTTTTTGTACATTTCTTTGCCGTTTTTGCACGACTACCACGTGAAATTGCCTGATTATAATTTTCAGGGAGGACGTAAACGAGCGACGACGAAATTTTATTCTCTCTCCAAACTTGAATACAGTTCTTAGAAATTCATCTCCAGGAGGGTTTGCCTACATTTGACGAAGTAAGTGAGTTGGAATAATCGCGATGAGGACCGAAAGAACGCAAGTTCATTTTTAAAGCGACGTTTTCGCTGCCGTCGCGTCTTCCGATCGACAAGTTCCTACCAAAACGAGGAACGGGGAGCAGGAGCGGGAAACGAGCATGGGGAACAGGAAATTGAAAAATGTGAGCAAAACTTTTCTTGAACCCTAGCTCTATAGCTCTCGTTAAGGATCTTCTTGTCCATATCTCTGGTTTGTTCCTATCTAGTCCAGTCAATCTAGGCATTTTCGAGGCTCAACATCAAACTAATTGCAACAGAATTGTTTTCAACATCATTTAAGTAAGGGTGGCCTATCTAGTAACATACTAAAAATCCGCCAAAACCCGTTGGGCGGAACATGTCAAAATTAAGCGCTAAACATTTTGAGCTTTTAACACAGGGTACCCACGTTAGTTGAAATTATACGGTTAAACAAAAAATGCACAAAATGTGCGTGAAAGAAGAAAGAATAACTTCTACCTAGTTTTCGCTGATAAAAACGGAGTGTTTCTTTTTTTGCACAGGAAGCCCATGTTCCACTTAAGGAACCCCAAAACAACAGGAGGCTTTCAGAGTAATAGAGTGAACTGTTGGCTGTAAAACTACAACAAATTTAGTCGTAAGGCTTTAAATCTGGAAAATAAAAGCCGTTACTTAATCATTAGCTTTAAAAAGATATCCTTTTTTATCAGATTTCTGTTAGCCGCAAGGGTAAGAAAAATATATAGCAGAGCTGGATATTTGAATAACGTTACAGCCAAAATAGAGCTCTCCCCTCAAACAGTTTTTTCTTTCAACAACTATCTCCAAAGAAGTCACCAAAAAAAGTAAGAGTGCAGCCATTGTTCTTCTTTCTTCTCCTCGTTTCTTTCTACTCGCTCTTTCTATTTTTCCTTTACTTGTTCTTTTCTAGGAGGATTTTTGGGCTCATTTTCCATTCGGCTTTTACTCTTTTCCTCAGTGAAAAGACTGCAATATTCGTTCGGTACGTTTCCAAGAATCCGGCAAGATAATGCTTTAGCTTTTACGGTTACCTATACATTAATTTTTGTTAACGTAAGAGCATTCTCAAATATACAAGTTTCACTTTTTCAAAGCTTTTCATTTTCTTCTTGTTAAAAGTGAATTGGAGAGGAGGGGACGATAGTTTTACTAATTCTTTACGACGCACAACAATGCAGAGTTTTTGAACAGGTTAAGCTCCAATGCCTATGAATTTGATGAGAGGGAAATGCCTTTTCATTAAAGGAAAAGTGTTGTTACCTTCGCAAAGGTTAACGGAACATTCGTCGCATAAGAATTTTGGTTCTAGCAAACGTTTGTTTTAAGAAAACGAAATAGTATAATAGGAACGTGGTTTTTAAGGGAAAGATTAACTCTGGGTAGCCAAAACAATGCGTATAAAAATATATTTTAAGAGTCTCTGGAGTAATGGAAATTCCCCACGCAGAGCACAATTCACGCAGCTCAGTCAGAAGGTTAACTTGCAGTAAGTTGAAGTGTTACACAAAGCTCATCCCTAGAGAAACATGGGTTCCGCAAAAAGAGGTGACACATCAGAAGCTAAGTCAGGCAAGCCCATTAATGTTGTATATAATTCCAGTACTTTCGCTCCTTCATTGACCACTGCAATTGTTTTCAGATGTTTAGGATCCCAAGATTGTTATAGAAAAAGAGGTCTTCATTTGCCAATGGACGAAAAAAAAACTGGTCAAGGTTCAGGGTTGTTCTCCGAAAAGAAATGCAAGGAGGGAATATAAATGCCTTTAGACCACAGAGCAATTAATCTTATTCACCGATCTTAGCAAGAAATGAAGAGCTGCCGCAGAAAAGACAAATTCAACACACAGATACACTAAACTAAATCTGAGCTTCGCTACAAGAAGAAGGTAAAAAAAAGAACGATCACACTGCCTTGGTTTTGTGGATTTCCTTTAGAGCAGATTCGGCCAGGTGTAATGAAAAGCACAGAGCGTTATGATCTAACAAAAACCAAATAGACAGAGTCCTTAGCAGAATATTTATTCACTCACATTGTAAAGTACGGAGTCAAAAAAGAGAATCCCTGATTTCGATCACACATATTGTGTCCAAGGTTTGAACATAACTACCTCACAAAACTCGATTGCCGAAAATGGGAATAGGTTTAACAGTTTGTACTAATACAAAGCTATCGTCCGTTGCACACATTTAGTTGCACGTATCCTGCAATATGGATGCAAATTTAGTAGCTGACTGAAGGTGAACAAAATATCAAATCAAATTGTTCAACATCAGTCAGCTACTAATTCAAAATTTGATGCCATGCTGCAGGATATAAAAAAAAATTACAAGCCTATAAAACTAAAAATACTTTCTGCATTTCTGATATTGCGCAAAAAAAAAAAAAAACTGATATTTTTACTCATGTCAATACAGACTGACTAATAATTTCCCTTTTAAATACCGTCATAGAAAAAAATTACACCTTGGAAAACAGAATGTGAACACAAACGAGTGGCTGGGTAACCTGTGCAAAGCCGTCAAGACGAAACACTGACCCAGGTGTTTCTCACACATTTAGTTGGCGTTTTTAAACCAAAACTAGCCAAAATACATCAGCGATGTATATCGAAAACCCTTGAGGAAAAAAAAAATTATCAAATGCATTATCTGAATTTGTGAGCTTCCTAAAATTGGGTGTCCTGTGGTGAAAGTTGAAAATCGTTATTGCCAATTTTTCTCATGTTTCACCGAACCGATTTTGGCGGATTTTTAATATGTTGTTACAAAGCCATCCAACAATTAAACGGCGTTAAAAAAAATTCTGTTGCAATTAGGTTGATGCTAAACCACAATTTGACTGGACTAAACTTTTGATTTTCCGTTCTGCTTGCTTGTTTGTCGGTTCTCATTGCTCGTTTCAGACGTGCCGAAAACTTTATAACAAAGACTTAACAACATAGCCAAAATTCGGAATTGAGGAGTTCTTCTAAAACGAAAGTTGAACGATAAACTAAGAAAGAGAAAAGGAAAACGTTCGAGGTCGCTTGATCTTGGCTCTTGCACGTACGTGTAATTGCATCCTGCGATCAGACGTTTCTTGTGGAGGGAGAGGGAGTGGGGTGCAACGCAGGGAGCGCAAAAGTCNAAAACTAGCCAAAATACATCAGCGATGTATATCGAAAACCCTTGAGGAAAAAAAAAATTATCAAATGCATTATCTGAATTTGTGAGCTTCCTAAAATTGGGTGTCCTGTGGTGAAAGTTGAAAATCGTTATTGCCAATTTTTCTCATGTTTCACCGAACCGATTTTGGCGGATTTTTAATATGTTGTTACAAAGCCATCCAACAATTAAACGGCGTTAAAAAAAATTCTGTTGCAATTAGGTTGATGCTAAACCACAATTTGACTGGACTAAACTTTTGATTTTCCGTTCTGCTTGCTTGTTTGTCGGTTCTCATTGCTCGTTTCAGACGTGCCGAAAACTTTATAACAAAGACTTAACAACATAGCCAAAATTCGGAATTGAGGAGTTCTTCTAAAACGAAAGTTGAACGATAAACTAAGAAAGAGAAAAGGAAAACGTTCGAGGTCGCTTGATCTTGGCTCTTGCACGTACGTGTAATTGCATCCTGCGATCAGACGTTTCTTGTGGAGGGAGAGGGAGTGGGGTGCAACGCAGGGAGCGCAAAAGTCGTACACTGAGGAAAGGGGCTGGAAAAAAAGAAAGATGTCAGGTCAAAGAGATCTGAATGCCTGATTGTATGAAAGTGAAGCAAAATTATAATCCGGAAGTCAGAAAGGATTAATGTGTTTTGCACGGCTGAAAAGTGATAGCGTACTGAAAATATCAAATGGCCACAAACTGATTGGAATAACATTTAATATTTTCAGAGCCAATTTCCATGACCGATTCCAATAATTCTATGTTTTCTTACCAAACAAACGACAATTATGTGGCGCGCCACAGCAGCTTAAGCCGAATACGAAAGTCAAGACTTCCTTGATGAGCCAACATTTAAAGGAAGATGGCCAGAAGCAAAGAAGACAACTATGAGAGTGGGTGACCCAACTCACCCTAGAATTATATCAATCATGTGGACGGAAAGTTCTTTTTTAAATTCAATGAATTTATATTTGGTCGTAGTAGGAATGACTGGGTTATTTCTGAACATTTTCCCGTGGATTGTTTGCTATTCCAAGCTTCGTGCTCAGAGCCACCGAAGTAGTAGAGACGCGCTGTTAATGTCACTTGTTTTGGTTGACTTTTTGACTGTCTGTGTTCCTTTACCAGTTTATCTATCAAAACACTACAACTGTCCAAGAAATCAGAGGACAAGCTTCGTCGGAAGGCCAACGATTTGCGAGATTTTTCATCTGATGTTCGTCTGGCTCAAACTTGCTGCACTGTTTATCATAACAACGTTGAACTACACTTCATACCTCGCTATAACCGCGAGCGGAATTTATCGCAGCATCGGAGACAGGATTTCTTCGTCTTTAGCGTGCTCTAAATACGAGTTGAGACATCAAGAAAAGACGCACTCGACAATGATCATAGCCAATTTAGTGATTGGAATAGCTATCGTAGCCTTTTTGATCGCTTCTTTACCATACATTGGCCTTGGTCCAGAGAGCCTTTCACCACAATCTACCCTATTATATCAACAAAACTCTACGACAACTTTGTTTCAGTGTTCGTTGGATCAAATAAGCTACCCGCAAAAGAACAAAGAATACACGTTCCTGTTTGCGGTTCTCATGAGCAGTGCCGCTTGCTTCTTGCTTCAAGTTGTTCACAATGTCCTGAGCTGCTTTAGTTGTCCGAAATATTCACTGGCAAAAACGGGCGCATCGAGAACTTTTGCCATTTACAACCGAAGGCTCGGAGCGGAAAGAGACTTTGCCAAACTTATCTGCGTGTTGGGCCTGACCTTTCATTTAACGTGGATTCCGGTTATGGTAAGTGGATCAATCTTGCTTGTGCATTTGAGGCGTATTTTGGTCTAAATTCTGTAAACAATGAAATTTAAGAAAGAAGATTTTAATTCACTTAAGG